GACACAAAATGACACAAAACCATACAAACGACACCCAAAACTACAAAAAGCATTCACACGTTCACGTTGATTACAGTGGCAACACAATATAGAGTGTGTTATTGGAAACCATAGTTAAAGTATTAGACGATAAACCGAAGCAACTCCACAGAAATGAACTGTTTAAGTAGATTGCAGATGTAACGCTCTAATATTACAGTAAAATACTGACACCACTGTGTGCTCATTGTGTGTTGTCTGCAGTTCAACCACACTAATGTACACTTCTCAGATTCTTACATTTCAATCATTTTTGATAGACCAGATGAAATGAAAGTGTTCAATATCTCACAAGAAAAAAATAAATATTTGCAGAAGCATTTTTCCTTCCTTTATTTTTTTAAAATCAGATTTCTCCACAGGTAGAGAAATATGTCTTTATTGGTATTGTGTTGCCAGGAAACTGGTTAGATAGATTTTAATTTAGCTGTTAAAAATATCCAGATATACTTACTTCTCAGACAGGAACAAACGCTGTTAGAGGCAGAACAATGATTGTGTTTGAAACTGCAGATCCACAGGCAGAATATATAAACAACTATAACTCTGCTGCAGTCGGTATAACATTGATTAATCACAGGAGCACTGAACAACACTTCTCTACGTGACAAGCTCCTTTTTTTGCTCTATGAATTTACAAAAGACATACTAAGAAATATACTGAATCAACAGCAAAACAGAAAAGGAAACACAAGTTATTCCTAAAGGAAACAACTGTCATCAAATGTGCAGCACAGAAAGGAGATAAGCAGCTGAAGGACAAAATAAAAACAGAAGACAAAATTTTTAGTAGCCCCAGAAAGAAATATTTATATGGAGTTTTTTTTAAATAAAAAATATAGGTAAACAATAAAGGTTGTGTTACAGGTAACTCCGGAATGTGGTGACCCAAATCATCCTACACACCAAACACATGTATTAAAAGCATAAATTATAGAATTATTACATTATTTTTTAAAAGATCATGTTTTTTTTCCCTTAAGTTATAATATTGTATTGCTCATTTTATGATTTAAAGCTTTTTCTTACTTGCTTTTAACATCATAGACTGAAAACTCTTGCAGAAGAGTGAACATAACGACAGTTACTGAGGTGGGATGCTTTACTTTTACTCCACCTCACTTTATTTAAAATATGTTGTTTTATTTCCTTTATGAATGCTTCTCGAAGATAACACAATAGAAGGCACAAGAGTAAATCATGTCATATGTGTGTTGAAGTAACAGTGATAATGAATCAGAAAAGCCAATCACAAGAGTTCACATCTGAAAACAATAAAGAATACCTGAAAGCCAGGCTGTATTACATTCCATTATATTTTGGATTACACCTGTGCTTGCATGTGTTTTTGAATCCATAAATAGAAGATTCTCCCCCAAAAAATGTATGCAGAAGTTATGTAGAGAAGAAGATGTATTGTTTGAACAATTGTAAAACTCTCACAGAAGTGGAGGATCTGGGTGTGAGCATCACAATCAAATACTCACCTGCATTCTAGTGAACTTCTGAGCACCGATTTATGGGAGAAATTGTATTATTTATGTGAAGGAAAACACAAAGTTTAAGCACGATGATTAAATAGTGATTTTTCAAAATGCACGTGTTCCAAACCCCTTGCATCCCTCCTGAAATCTTTGAACATAAGTAAATAGTCTCCATCAGTAGCATTGAATGATTTATGAATACAGTACAGTAGTTTGTTTGTTTTGCCTGAAACAACAGTCAAATCTCATGACTGCTCAGTACGGTATATCTAGAGGCAGCAGAGAAGCGTTTTTATGATATCATCCATCCCCTGATACATGAATACAAATAAAACCATAATAGTGTGACGTGTTTATTAACACTAAAGAGGGAAGTGAGAGACGTGTGCACAAAATCAGCGATAAAAATAAATCCATGGCTAGAAGGAATGTAAATAATACAAAAAAGAAAACTGCAAAACCCTGTTGGAAAAACAAAACTATCGCCATGAACAACACCTTCTTTAAAGGAATGGACTCGAATCATATTTATAAAGCTTCAGTGAGGTGAATTAATGCATCAAAACAGCGCTCATTAAGTGTTCTCAGTTACCTGCTAGCAGCAGATTTGAACTGATTAATATGTATTTTTGGGGGTATTATTGTGTTTATGGGACTTTAAGAGTGAACCTTTTCTCCTGCACTTTTCTTCGGGACTATTTAAAGGGACAGTCACCCAAATTAAAATTCAAAAAAAATTATTATTGAAAAATTTAAATGAGCATTAACCTATAAAAGATACAATTGGACTCAAGCTTGCAGCTACAATTTTACAATTCTGGTCTAGCACAGAGGTTCACAAATGTTTTTGACACAAGACGCAGCATTTATGAAAACAAGTGTTTCAAAGGCACACGTTTATGCAACATTAAAACTCTGTATTACCATAAATAAGACTAACTGAAACTGCACGGTGACATTAATGTGAACTAAGCACAGGAAGAAAGTGGGATGAGCTGACTTTGCCTCAAGCACAGGTTCTCAAAGGTTATATTCAATTTACCCTGAAATAAAATAACTTGAAAATCAACCAACCAATGAATTAATCCGGTTTTATTTGTGTAACACTTCTCACACAAATGCAATGCAACACAAAGTGCTTTACAGAGCAAGAGGAAGAAAAAAACAGTGAAAGCAGGAGCCTCCCGCCCTCCAATGAATGTTGTCATGTAAATGAATGATTCAGTAAAAACAGGAAAAAAAAACACCAGATGTAGGTAAATTTTCAATATAATAATAAAAATGATAAAAGACACATAAAACAGACTGAAATGTAAATAAAGAGGAATGAATGAAGACAAAACTCTAGACTACTAATACAAGCACGACTACAGCGACTACTAAAACCACATCTGCAATTTTTCAGATCCTAACAATGCCTCTGGCCTAAATAAATAAGAAAGTAAACGTTCCCACCCTCTTGTTGACGTGGTAACATAGCTAGACTCATAAAAAAGTTTCCTAAATATGCTAAATGGAACTATAAGTGCTGCTTGTGATATTGTATTGAATTCTAGCCATTCATTTTAACTGAAGAGAACAAGTTTCTGTTTGTTCCCACACAGAACAGGCGTCATGAAACAATCCGGTACGGCTTTATTAGGTAATGGACAGATGGAGGGTGGAAGTATAAACCTGAAATCACAAGTGATTTATGTTTTTGTTCAGTGTAAATAAGACTAATTCCAAAGCACACAGTTCATGAAACACTGGTTTATCCTGTGTCGACTGCGGTATTAATGTGGGCAAAGTATGGAGAGAAAGTGGAATAAACTGACTTTGCCTTGAGCGCTCACATTTGATCTTCATTTTTAGTCTGAAATTTAGTTTGAAAATAGAAATGTTACAAGGTTAAAATCTAAAGATTTGTAGACCGGACTTAGCCCTCAGTGTTTCAGGATCCTAACAACGCCGCTAGCCTAAATAAATAAGAAAAGAAAACACCTACCCCACCCTATTTACACTGTAAAAACTAAACTAACCATAAACAACTTTTAACTGGAATTTAGTGAACAATTTACTATTAAATTACAGATCCCCATTGTTTTCTTAAATTAGACATACTAATTTGTAAAATCACACAAAAAACATGAATTTACTCATTAATTTGAAAAAACAAAAAAATGTAAATGATGTTTACATCAAAAGTCTGTGTTTGTTCGCTTACATTGTGAGACTGTAAGATTACACAGTTTTACTGTATTTGAATACCTAAGGGCGCAGTTGGTTAGCACTGTTGCCTCGCAGCAAGAAGGTCGCCGGTTCGCATCCCGGTGGGGGCACCAGGGAGCACCTTTCTGCGTGCATGTGCAAACTGTGCAGCGTGGGTTCTCTCCGGGTTCTCCGGCTTCCTCCCACACAGTCCAAAAACATGTTGAGGTTAATTGGTGATTCTAAACTGTCCATAGGTGTGAATGTGAGTGTGCTTGGTTGTCTGTCTCTAAGTGTAGCCCTGTGATAGACTGGTGACCTGTCCAGAGTGTCCTCTGCCTTCACCTTAAGTCAGCTGGGATAGACTCCAGTCCCCCATGACCCTAGTGAGGATTAAACGGTGTATAGATAATGGATGGATGAATAACCTAAAAAAAATATATATATATATATTTTTTAAACAGATATTGCTATTATTTAAAAGATAGCAATTTATATTAAGGACTGAAAATGGTATATGATTGTTTTAAATAGTTATTTTACACATTTTTGGTAAACTAAAACCACAGGGGAAAAAGGATATTAATTTACAAAAAAAAGTAAAAATAATGTAAGCACCCAAAATTTGAGTATCTACAAATATTTCATTCTTTTACAGATTTTGACCAGAATATTACACTGTTTCACTATTTATAAATCAACCAGTATTCACTAGTATTTTCACTGTTGTTGTTGTTGTTGTTTTTTTTGCATACATTTTTAACACTCTGCTAAACATTATATTTAGAAAAATAAATTATTTATTTATTTATTTAACTTAAGCTTTGGTAAAAGTCCTTATAGAATTGTCACTTTGCCTGAATTATATCTCAGGTTTGTTTCTGAGCTTGTGTTTAAAAAAAAAAAAAAAAAGTCTTGTGTCATCTTTCACCGTCATATTCCCGCTGTGTGCAGAAAGAGGGAGGAGGAGGGAGTTTAGGGTGAGAGTAGAGCAGGAGGAGGAGGAAGAAGGGGGGGGGGAGAGAAGGCAGACGAGGCAGCGAGCAGGGAGAAGGGGGGAGGTGAGAGGAGGGATCTGAGCGAGACGCCCGCCGGAGCGATTCTCCAAACGCGGCTGCGCACAAAGCCGGGAGTACGTGCGCGCTTCCCGGCGGCGCCAACGCCACGGCCGCGCGGGCGCTGACGATGTTGTGAATGAGGGGATGGAGTGACGTCAGCGGCCGAATGTCAACAATGTAGCGACGGAGCGAGTAGGCGTTCCAGTCGAGTGTAACAAACAGCGGAGACGGAGCGGCACGCCGCGCTGGATCAACAACACACACACACACACACGCTGACGGACGCACGCACGGAGGCGCGCACACTACCGAATCACAGACGCTCTCGTGTGTGTCTTTTTTTTTGTGTTGTTGTTGTTGTTGCAAATAATCATCATTATAGCGAGTGAGAAATAACCGAGGTTGTGGAGAAGGAAGAAGACGAAGAAGAAGTCACCTCTCTGCAGCCGGGAGGCTTTGAGGAAACGACAAAAGCGAGTCATCATGTGAAAGAACTTATGTGGGAAGCGGACAAAAGGAGCTGGAATACGAGCAGAATAGAAAGTAAAAGGTGAGCTTTTCCTTTGGCGTGCACGTTTCTTTCTCTCCGTTTCTGTCTATTGTTGATGCTCTTTACAACCCCGAGTTGCAAACTTGCATAAGTGTCGCAGCGGTGGGCTTCAAGCTACCAATGAGATATATGGAGAGAGGGAAAAAAAAAAAAAAACTTAAAAAAGAAAAACCGCATGCATGAATCTTGAAAGCTTGGCGTGTGGTGCGAATATTGAAGGGTGTAATGTGTTGGGGTGTGAACGCGGGTTCAGGAGTGAAACACAACTCTGTACCACATCCTGTTATGCTTTGAGTCAATGCGACCGTGTGCGCTCCCCCTCCAGTTCTTTCTCTGTTTTTTTTTCTTTTGCAAAAAAAAAAAAGTAGCTGGTTGATCCCAGTGGAGGGTCAGGCATGCCGCCGCCGCCGCTGCTGCTGATACCAGCTCCAGAAACAGAAGCTGGCACTTGCAACGTCATTGAACGCCTCCCTCAGTCATTACATGTGCATCAAATTCATTTATCACTATTATTAGTTGGAGTAGTAGTAGTAGTAGTAGTCGTAGTGGTGGTGGTGGTGCGCTCGGGGTTTTATTACTCTGCTCTTCCTCAATAAATCCATCACACCTCCTCATTAATCCGCGTACAACAAAACACAACATCTAAATATTTTTGCTGTGTAAGGACGAGCCTTATTTGCTCCGACAGCCAATGGAATCATCTCAATCCCCCTTGCTCGACGGTGCCATATTTTTATTATCGTTAACCCCTTGTGTTAAAACAGATCGACAGCGAGCCTCCCGCTTTCTCACCGAAAATAAATGAGCATTATTATTTTCTTCATCTTAAAAAAAAATCAAGCACAACTGTGATTTTTAATAGGAAGCTGCGCCTTTTACGCGCGGTCCTGCATTGTCATGTGAATGGATGCTGCAGTAGTGGCTTAGTCAGTCCCCGTCAGTCTTATTATGTAGGAGTCAGTGGTGAATTGTGCTGTGATGCAAGTCGATAAAAATGCTATTTTGTGGGGGGGAGAAACGTTTTATAAATGTTAGAAATCACTACCTAGTTGCGCATTGTGTCATGCGTAATCCTCTTGGAAAGATCGATTTTGTATTAAATGTCAGTCGTGCGGTTTTTTTTTTGTTGTTTGTTTTTTTGCTGCTTCAAGCCAGCTTTGCTTTGTTCACTTTGCCACAGACGCGTGTGTCCACCGTGTGCACGCAGCTGAATAATAATTGTGTTTATTTCGGGATGACTATTGTTTGATTGCCACGTGTTTGCGCTCGAAATCGTACGCGGAGCGCAGTGATGCTGCCATTAAACGCGGTGATACAGCACTTTGAGGGAGCGGTGACAACATCCACGGCATCTCTTTGTCTGTTGGGCATCGCAGCATCACCCTCCGCTCTCCCCTCAACCGCTTCATGTCATGACGTGTCGCATTTCTGCTGCTATTCCTTTGAAACACTTACACACACACGCACACACGCACAATGATGCGATTCCAACGCTGCAGCGCTGCGGATGTATTTGGAGTTGAGGAGGTGCAGGTGTGGTGTTGTGTAGTAGTAGTAGTAGTAGGATCTTTGTAATCAGTGTCGTTATTTTTTTGAAGGGGAAGGCTTCACGTGAAAACACATTGCCACTGACATCGCTTTGCTTTCACAACACGTGCATGGCGGCGGCACTCATGCGCAGTTTTTACGCACGGAGCCTTTTGTTCTGTACAGTAGCCCCCGCTGCCTTTTTTTTCCCGTTTCCCATGCATAGCAATCCTCTGTTTTTTTGTGATGAGGGGGAGGAGGGGGTGGGTGACTGTAAACCCCACAGTGACTCAGTCAGGCTTAAATGCCACTTCATCCAATCTGCCATCGCTTTATCTCCTGCTTGCATCACCGTCGTCGTCTGTGTTCTTTGTCCGTCAATATAGAATAAGGAACAGGAGGTAAATGGAATAATGTTGGATTTTTAGCATCACATATGGTCAAGTTAATAGACAGGTAATGATGCACATCTCTCATATCAGTCAACAAACGGTAATATTTGAAGTTCCAACGGAGATCTGTTTCCTTTTGTGCTCTTAACACGTGGAATTAGTAAAACAGACCATTTGTCAGTGTTTTTTTGTATCCTACTGGAAACATTCCAGAGACTTCTCCATCGAGTGAACACTTATCTATTCTCAATTTTTAGAAAAAGGTTTTGTCTTATGGCTTTGCTGTAACAAATCAGAGCAGAGCTGAGTAATTTTTGAAAGCAATATCACAAAAGCAATAAGACCCCTTTTTACAATATGGTTACAGTGGCGTCAAATGTGTGCAACAATGCAATTAAGCAATGAAAAATTGCAATATCTTGTGTTTGTTTTTAATCAAGCCTCCCGCTGGATTACGTTTTTGGGCTTTAGATGAAATTCTAATTGTATAATTACAATATGATTCCAATGAACAGCGGTAAAGGATCGTACCGAATTGTTGCCCGGCTATTGCATCACATGTTTTTGAATTCCCTCCTTCATTACTGAAAAAAATCCAGCTTCAAAGTCAAAGCTGTTTTGTAGAACAACATATGGCGCGATATGTACCCACACCTTCATTCTGACCAGCTTTTTTTGTTTCCACCTGCCAAAATATACAGATAATACACCGGAAATAAATATTGTTGCATCATTTATTTAAATGACCAATAGTTACCTCATCTGGGGGAACAAAAGATGGAACATTAGCTGTGTTTTTCAGATGTAATGTTTCACATCTTCAGTGTATTTAATGTGGCAGTAAAAAAAAGGCTGTTAAAGCCATCTTAAGGGTACATTTTTAAGGAAAATGAATTTATTATTTTATTCAGTGTAATTTGAAACAGAAACAAAGCCTGTAAAGGAATCCTAGTGGTGAACTTACTTGCTTAGCCTCCCCAAAATTCTCAGAAATAGCAGCCAAGCACTTGACTTCATTGTCCAACCCTATTTGGAGTGTTCACCTTCCCAAAAACCTGATTTGGTTAAAGCACCACGATTTGTTCTGGGATTTTGGAACACCTCCAAATGAAGGAAGCTAGACCACACTTAAGTCCTTTAAAACACAAGTAACTGTTGGACCAACTCCCTGTCATTATATAACCTACATCTCTCCACTTGTGCGTTTCTTGGGAACGTCTCTCAGCCCGAGCGAGGCTGTTTTTGGGGGATCTTAACATAATGAGTCCCTCAGGGTTCCCAGCCTACAGCTGAAATCCCACACGGCAACAAGATCCCTTCATGTGACCCTCCCGACCCCCCCCTCCCACCCACCCCTTTTGTTCGTGGCTTTTTTCGTTGGGAACTGTAACATCCCTCCTCCGTGTTTCTGCCGGTCGCAATCGTTGCTTTGTGCAGCCTGAAAGTTTCCTATCAAGCTAATTAAAATGCTGATGACAGAAGAAGCCGCTCGTGCTCAAAAGTAACCAAGCACTTATGGGTTAATGATTCATGAAATTGCAGCTGGAGTAGGATGCGACGGGGCGATCTCTCGCTGCGATCGCAGATGAATTTTCTCCTGAAGACAATCCCAGCAGTCTGCGAGGATGCATCATTTCTGATTTATGTGAAAAGAGACAGCAGAAGTGTAGCTTGAAAGGAGAGCAGAAACAAAAGGCTCCTCGTCTCTCATGCATCGCCTTCTCTCTCAGCATCTTTAAAGTATTGTTTGCATCACTGAAGATATTTCAGTAACCCCCACCAGCTCAGCCCAACATCTCAAGTCAGTGCCTTGGCTTGGAAAAAAAAAAAAAAAAAAAAAAAACATGTTCCCATAGCTCTCCCACGTCAGCACAAAGGCATGTTTGACTGGGCTGCTGCCAGTGTGAGGCGTAGATGGAACAGCACTGCTGGGAGAAATCTCAGATCCTGCACTTTACACCAAGAGCTATTGTTTCCCTTCTCTCCTTCTTTCTCTGCTGCGATCCCTTCTCCCCTTCCGTCATGGCATGGCTGCTCGTTCTCGTCCTCCTGGCGTTCTCGGCAGCGCTGTGCACTGGCGTTGTGGCTCGGCGTGTGAAATCAGATTGCATTATCCCGGCAGCTCACCGTCAGTCTGTGCAGAGTCAGTGCCTGTCTGCGTGTTTGCTGCTCGGCACACACTCCTGCCAAGAAGCTATCAAATATAAAACACCGCAGGCAGTTTTCTAATTGTTCTGTTTTGGTTTTGTGTTTTGTTTTTTCTTCTTCGTCTTTCTTTTGCTTGTGTTGCCTGTAAGAAATTATCAAGAAACGTAAATCATCCTGGTAGTTGCGTCAAACCTGCTGGATGATCTCATGGGCTGGTCCTGCTGCCTCGAGCGGAGAGCTTCACCTTCTGAACTCTGCGAGCAGCCCATTCCTGTAGTACATAAGTTCATAACTCTGCAAAACATGCTGATGTACATCTGGTCTTAATAGCTCTGGAATTAAAACACTGGAAGACGGGGCGGTTTGGAGGTTTAGTTGGTACTGAAGCAGTTTAGAAGAATGCAAAAGTGGCATTCACTGAATGAGGAGAAGACATTTAGTGCAGTGTAATGACCTGTTTGTATTGGATTAGTGCAACACTACTACCACTACCACTACTACTACTACTGCCGCTGCTGCTGCTTGAGCTCCACTGAGATCTGTATAAAACTTTCATCCACAGCTCAGTGCAGAGTTTTCTGTCACATTTGGTTTTCTTACATTCAGCTTAAGCTGGAACCAACCGTGAGCTCAGAAGATGTCAGTCTGGAACTGTGTGCAGAGAAAAGCCTGAAGTGGAGAGCTTTAAACACACAAAGAACTTTACTCAGAGCAGTTTGTTGGATTTCTTTGTGTTTTTTAGCAGTGATTTGCAGTGCATAAACACATATCATAAGCCACAGATTGTTGAATATGCAACGTTTCTCTAGAGAGAGAATTATCTGAGTAGTAATTAATATCAAGACTGATCAAATAGTTAAGAGAAATCCAAGAAATATAAGGTAAAAGCAGGTGTTGGGATAAAATAATTTATTTTTTTGTGCACAAAACTCC